GGTGTGTTCCTTGGCCCAGTACACACATGTGGTAAAAATGTCATGACAATCCGTCCTCAAGTTTTTGAGTAATGTTGTCAACAGACAGAACGATAGAACAACAGACAGACAGACAGACAGACATAAGCGACCGAAAACATTACTTCGCCCTTGGCAGAGGTAATTATTATTATACTAAAATGCAGTGGTGAGCACTAGTCCCCTAAAGCGCAAATGCACTAATTGCGGACCTAAATTTCTCCTTTGCGCTTTAGGGGTTTTACTAATTTCGTAAAATGATGTACGGATTTGAGCTTTCTAAATTTAGAATAGAGTAGCGCTACTTGCAAATAACGTTTCACATTCAAACGTCAATTTCATCTAAAGCAAAGCTAAAAAGCCATCTAGTCTCACTACTTTCTGTAGCCACATACAGTAATTCATTAAAACTTTGTCATCATTCTCTTGAATGGAGTGGGAAAGCTGTCTCTACTTAACACAAACAATGTATCTCCACTGTGAGGAAACAGCGATACCTCAGTCTGCATTGTGTTCACAGACCTTTATACTCTGACTTCTGACTCTTCTCGGTGACGGTTTTCCACTTACTACAGACTTTAGTGTTCCCACAATTCTTTGCGTGGGAGGAAGCAATTAGAACTTCTTCACTGGGTGACAATCAAACTGTGGTTCTGATTTGCAGAACCACACTCAGCTGTGCAGTTTGTACCTCCTCTCTGAGGAACACCGCAGCAATAAATACTAAAGAAATAATAATAGTAAGGAAAGAAACATGGAACAGTTTAAATTCATGCTCTTATTTTGAAAAGAACGGCGTTCCTGTTCTGTGTCCTGTAGTCTACCCAGAATGCATCGCCTCCTTTTTACGACAAACAGTTTAAAATTACTAATATATCTGCATGTTTTCTTACCGAAGGAAAACAAAAAGGTAATACAACCATGATTTAAAAGTCTGTTTCTACAAATCACCTCCCCATTCTGTGCCGATACATGCCAAGCTGTTAAAGTAAATAATCTTACCACTAGATGYTAGTAAAAAAAGCTGACTTTTCTCTTACCTGAATGTTTTCTGGTAAAAGGAGAACATGTTGCACTTTATATTAGCTTCCGCTAAATTTTATTGAGCATGTGTGCTTTTGAACTTGCTGACCTAAATAAATTGACTAGCGCTATAAAAATTGCGTAACTAAAATTTATATTAGCGCTGCCCATCACTGCTAAAATGATTTAGATTACAAAACCACTAAATATATATGCAAAACATATTCAAAACAATAAAAATGGTTAAATATTACCTGATAGAGCTTGCTGACTTTCTCCTGGCATTTCATATAGGCTTCAAAGTCTGCAAACACTTTGAATCTAAACAGAAACAAATAAATCATGTGAAATAAAGACAAAGAACAAAGAAACAGATCTATTATCTCCTGAACTTCCTCACCGGTCATGTTTGAAGAGCATGTTAGTGAGGTCTTTAAACAGTTCTGGATCTCTGGGGCTGAAGAACCCACTSGCAATCTGATCCATCACTTCTTTCAGCTCAGGAATCTTCTTGTAGTACGTCATGGCATCATATCTGACATTAATATAAAGGACAGTTAACTAAATCACTATTTAGCATGGAAGAATTTCCTTAGGGATAAATAAAAGTATCCAGATCTTCACTGCAGATATCTGAACATCCATGCATCACTTCTACATACAGTGATTGATGGATGTTTTTGTCCACTCATTAGATGTTTAAAGAGAAGCTTGTGTTGTTGGATGAGAAGTCAGCTTTTTTTTGRTAACTGCAAAGATGGAAGGAAGATGTGAACTGGTTGCATGTTCCATCTTGCTCATTTTCAGAGGTGTATAAAGTATTTGAAAGTAAAAAAATTAAGTAAAAGTAAAAAAACATCTTAGCAGAAAATTACTTCGGTAAAAATTATTTCACTGATAAGGAAAGTACTTCAGTAAAAGTCATAAAACTACTCAGAAAAGTAAAAGTACTTTTACACACACTAAGAAATGCAGTTTTGAATTTACTTAAACTGGTTCCACAAAACCGAGTTCAGTAAACTATAGTTTTATATTTACTCAGCTCTGTTTAGTGGAATCAGCTAGGTTAAGTTAATTCAAAACTTCATTTTTATAGTTCATAAACAACTCTTTTCATGAGTTTGGTTACATTTTAATTTGCAACGTGAAACTGGGTGTTAAATTTAAAGAGTAAAAGTATCCTTTTTTTGTTTTAAATGTAACAAAATAAAAGTAAAAGTTGTGATAAAAATACTTGGTAAAATTACAAATCCTTAAAAAAATTAAGTACTGTAAATGTAAATGTACTTATACACCCCTGTTATTTTTGCGACAGGCTTCTGGGAACCAATCATTTTCAAGGATACACTACCTCCCATAAATAAACACGCTCAGAAAGTCTGGCCCAGTCACACAACAAACCACACAGGTTTGGACACAGGACAGAGTTCTGACTGGGGCCAATGTACAGGATGGGCTCTCAGCAAGACAGAACAAATGGAAGTTACGCAGTTTTCATCACAAAACACAGTAAATAAAATGGGAGACCAGAAATATAAATCAGCTTTTAGGGAGTGCTAGCGTTGTGAGGCGGTCCGAMGGGGGTACAGGGTCCTACCCCACAGAGAAAATAATATATACATCTACTCAAAACTATGTGAAATCCACTGAATAGATCACCACATTTGGTTGGCCATTAGTATAGCCTGGTTGAAGACTTCTGCCTCTTTCTCCAAACTCCATGCTCTATGACTGAAGTCAGGACTGATGAAGTACCATCAACGGATAAAGTCCTGATTACTGAGCAGGTACTAACTACTGATATTTGACAGAGCTGCTCTTCAAAGCTGAGGGGACAGTCCCTTTAGTTCAACAAGCTTCCTGTAGAACCCCCGGGATGTCCTTTTAGGGTTTAGAAATCCAACAATCCCCAACATGAAATGACTGATTCAAACACATTCATGGAGGATGATCAGAATCAGCACTGTAAACATCACTCATGTGATGTGAAAGGTGATGAAGGTTTGARACAAACTGCTGAGGGTGAGCCTCTCAGATGAACCAGAACTTGTCCTATGAGGGACATTTGGGTGTCTTACGCCAGCTTATGTGGTTTGTGGGACATGGGAAGAAGGGTGGGGAGTAGGATTGCAACTAACGATTATTTTAATAATCTATTAATTTGTTTATTATTTTTCGATTAATTGATTAATCGGCCAAATCATTAAAACACTTAATTACAGGAATATGAGTAGATAAAAATTAATTTCATTCCTGTATAAATTAGGGATGCAAGTTATTGATTAATTAATCTGAAGTTGATTTATCTTGACTAACAATTAATTGATAAGCAGCCATTTTCTTAAAAACCGGAGTTTTCTCTTGAATCAAGAGGGTGTTTCCATAAAATAAAGGATGTTTTTAAAATCTCCTGAATTAAAAAAACAGAAGCAAATAATACATACTTTAACAA